AGACTCTACAGTTAGTGCTGGAGGTTCGTAGGGGACACCACTGACAGGTATTGAGAATAGTCCCCCCACGCTAAGCTGAACAGTTGTACTTAGTTAGGTGTGAGATGTATCTTAAGTTCTGTAGCTCTGTAGTTTTGCAATCTGTATTATTAGTCCACAAGCTATTCTTGTCCTCGTCCGTTCTGATATACTCTCGTGCAACATCAGCCAGTTCCCAATCTCGAAGACGGCTATCTCTTCACATACCAGCCGCAACATCATTCCTAAACCGCACAAGGACGATCTCACCAATCCTGCCAATTGACGACCGATTTCGCTTCTCTCAATTCTCGGAGAAGGGCTGGAATTCCTCCTTGCGAGACGCTTTGCCTTCTGGGCCTTGTCAAATCGCATTATCTCCCCGATGCATTTCGGAGCGCTAACCGGAAGGTCTGCCATGGATCTCGTAGAGTGTTTGGTTTATAATGTCGAAAAATCGTGGGAGACAAAGCTGGTGTGCACTCACGCCACCCTCAATATCCAAAGTGCGTTCGATAGTATTCAGTCTGGCCGTCTCCGCGCTCGTCTTCGCGAACAGGGATGGCCTTTACCATGCGTGAATTGGGCTGCTTCCTTCGCTTCTTGCAGGAAGGCTCGTCTCAGAGTGAATGAATTTTTAGGTGACTTCTTGGATATTCCGCATGGCTTGCCCCAAGGATCCCCTGCTTCTCCTATATTGTTTCTCCTCTTTCTCGAGCCATTATTTAAACTCTGGTTTCCTACATTTGGATACGTAGACGACGTAGCAATCCTCTCGGTCGCAAAAACTCTTGCCGATGCTTCTCATCTGATCACCAACAGGGTCGAAAGCATCACCCGTTGGTGCGAGCAGAATGGACTCACTCTGACAGAAAACAAGACCGAAATCCGTCATCTTCATAGATCTCGACAACCTTCTCCTCCGGTCATCATCAATGGCGTCCCAAGAAATACAAACTCTACTCTAAGATTGTTAAGGCCAGGCATTCTTGAAGAGGTTTTAAGGAGAAGGTTCTCATGAAAAGGTGATAGGAGAAGGGTTCAAGAAAATTTTCGGGAAAAGATTTACTGAGAAGGTTTCTGAGAAAAGCCTGACAGTTAGAGATGGAGGGGCTGGCATCATGACTACATCTGCCATAGTCTTAGTTGAGTTCAAGTACTGTCTTGAGTTAGACATAAGGTAGCTGGAGCTGCCACATAGTAGCTCTCCAGCTTCTCAATCTTTCATTCTTTTAATCTTTGTTCTCGCAATCTAGCATTTTCATAAAATTATAATCTTATATTCTCACAGTCCGATATTCTCAGTCTTTCATTAGTTGCTAGACTATTCGTATTTTTGTTCACCCTAAGTTATCAGCCTTGATCGTTTGCTCGGCAACTCGACTTCCTGACTTCGTGCCTCTCGAGTATCTTGTAGTTCTCCGACCTCTGACCACCTGGCACCTCGCCAGTCAAATTATATCAGAGTATCCTTCGCTAGCACCTATAATCCTAACAGTATTGATACCTTACCCTCCGCAGACGGTGATCCCCAGTATCCTTAGCGCACGCCGTAACAAAGATGGCTAGGTGTCTTCCTCGACACCAAGCTCTCTTTCAAAAAGCATGTTCAAGAATGGAGTGCTAAAACGCAACGGATTAGAGCCCATGTACGACAGCTTGGAAATACCAACCGTGGTGTACTAATAACTTTTCTACGCACTGCAGCCCTAGCTGCGGCTCTACCGGTCCTCTTGTATGGTGCTGAGGTCTGGTGGCGCGGTCACACTTATCTCAGGCGAGGACGTTCAACTTCAACCCGGTCTCAAAACCTAGTAGACATGATCTCTCAAGCTCTAGTCAACCTGGTCAGAGCAATTCTACCAGTATACAGAACTACTCCTACTGCTGCACTTCTGAGAGAGGTGTGGCTCAAGCCAGCTCATATTCTACTTGAGGAGATACGCCTTCGCTCCGCTATAAGGCTAGCTGCCGCGGGCGTCTTTCATCCTTCGGTCAGAAGCTTAAACGACCCTCGCGTACAATCTCGCCTCACCGAAGAATTGAAGCTCGATTTGCCCTTTCCCCGCCCTCGGTTTTTACCTCCCTCTTTAAAAGCTCCGCTTAATTGTACTCGAGCAGACTTTTCCGTCCTAGAATTTTCCGAGCGTATCAGTGCACTACCACCATGGAATATCCTTATCTTCTCGGACGGATCAAAGCAAAGCGATGGGTCTGCTGGGGCAGGTGCCATCATTCTCCATAAAGACATCACTGTAGCTCAAGTGAGGATGCCCCTCGGCCCCGATTTCGAGGTCTATGACTCAAAAATTATCGGCGCCCTGGCAGGGCTTAGGGCCGCTGTAGCTGCCCCTTCAACTCATCTTGCAACCAACATCCACGTCATCCTAGACAATCAAGAGGCAGCACAACGCCTCCTCAATGATTCGCCGTCTATGTACTCACAAATGGAAATTCTAGAATTTCAGGATCTCGTGTCTAACTGGCCTACGAGGAGAATTCTGCCAATCGCATGTCCTGGAAAAGTCCAAGTTATGTGGTCTCCCGGTCACATAAGTATTCCAGGTTATGAGCTGGCCGGAGTCCGCGCGAAGATTAAAAGGCAAATATGGGACTTGACCACAGCTTGGTGGCAATTTCATGCTCCCTCTATCTATTGTGAGTTAGGGATGCCATTTCCCAAGAATCCTCCTGAGGAACTTCGACTCTTATCGACTTTAAACTTGTTGTCGACTTTGTATACGTACGTCTGTTATCACAGACATTGGAAATAATTCATGAGATTGCTAAATGAGAGGCTAGTATTAATTCCGATATAATATTGTAAAAGACTTGTCCCAACTATCAGAGGGTTACAACGTCTTTATCTATCTACAGCTAAACTCTCCATGTTCCAACCACGCTAGCCATACAGGACGTAGCATATAAAATGTGATTCGTATTATCATTTTGGGTTTGAGGTTTACCGTGCATACGCTACTCGAGTTGCATGTCTGACTACTATGCGATACGCTCAGGTATCAATCTAATAACCCACACCAAAACCGAAACTGCTCACAACCCTGATGATGACCCCATGAATAATTGGGACAGTAGCCTGCAACATAGCACAATTCGGCTAGACATCGTTGACCAGGACCCAATCCGAGCAAAGTGAGTCATGTTTATTGTACTACTTGAGTCTATGACCATCTAGCACATTGGGCTCCTTTCTGACCCAGGCCACGCCTTGTACGGTGCTCCTTGCCTCTTTTGTTACTCGAAAGATCATTGATATATTGCCCGTGATGAATAGCTACTCAGCTCAGTGTTTAGCCGTGGAGTTTAGCCACATTTTCCATGGAACCTTCAACCCAAAAAAATATATATGTTAGCAATGGAACTGCGTGCGCAGGAAAAAGTCTCAAGAAACCTGCAGCCCCAGCCAGGCGAGGCCTAGACACCGGGACCACATGAGGTGCGCATATTCATCTACATCTCCCTTCTTTGTAACAGTCGAGGCCGACTTGATCCAATCCACCATCTCCGCATCGGGTGCTGGGTACGCTCCGGAAACTCATCGAATGGCTTTTCCTCCATGATCAAGGGTTGGTGATGAGTAGGGCTCCGACCCTACCATCTGATCTGATCGTGGTTAGCTTCATGATAATGGCGAAAGGGCGTTGTGTTGAGAGATGAAGACGATACAGACCGCGAAATCGATTGAGTATCCTCGTCGAAGTGAGGACTTTGTTACTCAATCTCGGCTCTGCAGACTCTACAGTGAGTGCTGGAGGTTCATAGGGGACACCACTGACAGGTGTTGAGAATAGTCCCCCCTACAGTTAGAGTGCAACGGTAGTCAATTAACCCAGCACTTTAATTAACAAAACAAAAAAAATTACAAGGTGGCCAACCATTATCTATCTACTAGTAGATTCAGCCTGTGCCAACAATACCTGAATGGGTTGAAAGAAATCAAATCAAAGTGTTTGTTCTAAGTTTAAACATTAAAAATGAAGTTCAAAAACCAAAATCAAGTCGGGAAGAGTCTCATTATTTGGCATAAGGATTTCAAAACTAGAGTTTTGGAGTAGATATACAGAAACTCATAGTAGTTGATTGATTTCACCCAGAACATTAACAAATTCGGTAGTCAATTAAATATTTATTTTTAGTCTAAATCTACTACTAAGCTTTTTGATTAAAAATCCAACACAGCTAGTCCGATTTCCCTTCTCGATTGTCTTTTAAATGCCCAGATTCCAGATGACACTTTTTGGAAACAACGAATAATTAGATACTGTAGCTCTCCAAATATGTTACCATGAAAAAGCCATCTAATCTAATACAGAATTTATTTCTTGTTAATAATTCTATATTTAATGCATTACCCATGGCAAAAAGCTTACTTTCCGCAGTCACACCAGTTATAAAGATAAAATCAGAGGCTGAAGAGGTAAGGGCTCTAGCTTCCCACTTCTAGTGTCCCATACAAGATTAGCGATTGATGACTAATTATCTCATGCCAAGAAACTCCTGCTTAAACAAAAGATGCCAGCTCTTCTGGTGGCTGATGGTCTGAATATTTTTTTCATACCTTACCTTCCACATTAACTTGATGTTACTATCTCGCTCAGAACTCGTACATCCTAGGTTGTTCAGAAGAACTTTGGTTGGCATTTCCTAGGGCAAATCTTGGGAACAATTAATGTATGATTCCATCTGGTTAAAATTAATGATATTTGATCTGATGATATAGCTTGTGTGTATCAGAGGCACAGAGTTAATTGTGCGATGCTACTTTTAGGCACATTAGTTAAGCTGGCAATGGTCTTTGGGGAAAATTTCGCATTAGTTTCCCAAATTGTGACGAAACGGCTGCTATATTATTGATGTATGGGTATGTGGCCAATGTCGGGATTAATATACCGAGTAGTAACTTGAGGTTGTCAATAGCTTTAATATCTTGACGCAATTCGAAATCCAGCGGCCTTTCGCTATTATAATTCATCTTCAATTGAGCGGGAAGCGAGAACTATTTGATTGATTCTTCTCTCAAGCTCCTCATCGGATTTCTCGTTAACATCTGGGCGGTTGTCATTTTTTACCATGAAGAGAGCTAGCACGGCACCGATAATAGAGATTACTGTATTACACCACCAAGGAAGACCAGAGTACCCCAGCTTCTCACCAGTAGAGATGAGGAGTCCCGACAAAGTAGGGCTAAATGCACGAGATAGACTTGCAGTTGATGCAGCCACACCATTGATCATACCAAGTGTAAGGAAGGAAGGAGTCGAATTTGTAAGCATGATAGCGTTGCTCGGATAGGCCATGGTTGAGAGGGTACATTTCCAGATGACTAGAACGTAAATACCTAATTTGCTATATTCTGGCGGTAAGAGAGTGAAGTAAGGCACGAGAAAGTAAAGAGCTGGATATATGAAGGCGACAGTCCGGAAAAGTCGAAGAACGCCCATGAATCGGACGATGCTCGGAAATAGGCAGAGTGTAGCGAACATTGAAAAGATTCCTTGCACTGAAAGAATGATTCCAATCTCTTTTGTGCTGAGACCATAACCAGTGACAAATTTAAACGGGAGTCGCCATGAGCTGGTATCGTGAGGCGTCGGCGTGCTAAAAACGGTGGGCAGCATCGAATCAATAGCAATAGTGTGACTAGACATGTTAGATTGTGAGTTACTCGTGGTTTTGCTAAAGACCCCTACTATGCAAGAATACCATATCCAATTATGTTTAGGATAATTTGATTGGTGAATGCCTTTGACGCAGCTGGCTTAGACGTAGGTAGAGGGTTATCTATTTGGCTGACAGGACTGATGATAGGAAGAGGGGCTAGCTCGTTCATCGTAGCACAATAGTTTGAAGGTTGCTCTGCATTGAGTAATCCTGTCGTTTCTTGCACATCATCATCCTTTTCGCTCGTGATACATGAAGCATTATAATCCCACTGTGGGAATTTAGTGATAATCCACCTACCAGCTGCGAGACCGGGATCATGGAGATGCTTTTTGTCTGCATGTGTTTCTTCAAGGTAGAGGACACCAAAAATCACACCAAAAGTTATGATTATTGTGCAGACAAGATTGGGTAGTAGATAGGGATATCTGCCCCAGAGCGATTCAGAGGCGAAGATTGCCGGGTAACTTATTGCGGGTCTCGCTAGTGCCCCGCCTAATATAGGTCCGAGTATAGATCTTAAAGGGGTGTGAGTATACCACCCATGACTATCTCACGGACAGGACTCACCCAAGACACCATACAAATGGCATTAGAGAAAAGGCGCGAGCTGGTTTTCGGTAAGTGACTGTAATCAGGTGGTTTAATATATAGAAATGAATCTCACATACGTTGGTGTTCTTTTTCGGGAACTAGTTCGGCAACAGTCGTCTGTAACACCCCAATATTCCTAAATGCGACATTAGATATATCTTGAGCTGGCTTTGGTCGTGGCCTACCCATTTAGGAGGCCTCCTAGAGCGCGAGACATGAGAGCAACAGGCAGACTGGTCGCAAATCCAAACGAGAGCATACTGAGAGCTGTTCCTGAAAGCCCAGCCAATAGGACCGGTTTTCTCCCAATACGATCGCTCAGTCTTCCCCATGCAAGGCCGGAGGAGAACTCTGCCAAGGCAAATGCAGATGTCACCATGCCAGCATAGATGGATATCTCAGATGGATGTTTGGTCACCCCGAAATCCTGTATCATATAATAAACATAGGGAAAAATGGACATAAATGCGATGGGTTCACAGATCCGACAAAGCGCTACAGCGGAATTAGCATCCTACTCTAGTGATGGTTTGATCTACGCACCGAGAATGGTCATTTGCTTGGTTGGAAATGGAGTAAGGACGCGCAATGGCTCGCGTGCTGCCAGGGCTTCGGACATGATGCGTGACTTGGTTTGGCACAATTAGACGGTATTTACTCTCCACAGCCAGGGTACGGCTTGTGAAGAAAATTCTCGGCCACGAATTAAAGGTTCAATTGATTGAACAGCAGGACGGAAGGTGTGAGTTGGCGAGAAATATTTTGGTGATGGCTCCGATAGAACGAGAAAGTTCCAAGGACCTTATACTTCATGAACCGGGCTAGCAGCACGAGCTAACTTGTGGGGCGGCAATTGATAGCGCAGAGCATGGAAAGAGGGGCAGAACTCAAGTAGAGCGGCGAGGAAATAGGAGAAGGTGCACCCATGTCTGTTGGTATGGCCGGGGCGCAGGAGGAAGTTGGTCGAGCAATAGCCCCGTAGCCCAGTAGTGAGACCTCGGAGTAGTCCACACGGGAAGATTGATATCCGGGTCACCCCATGACTCTTCGACGTAGGCAGACTGGGAAGCTGCTCCACCGCTGTAAGCTTCACCCTGCTCCTTCCTGCAGATCTGATGGGGGCGAGGAGCACGAGCTCGGCTACGGAAAAGAACTTTGGCTGCCGTTTATATCATGTCCGTGCAGCTCTCGTGCATCGGCCCAAGGAGCTCTTTGGACCCGGATCCATTCTTGCTAATCTCTTTTCCGGCCAAGTTCATCAGGCGGGGCTCATCTGCGGGGCTAGCAGGGTGCGATCACAGGATGCGCACGGCGAATAGTTTCAGGACGCACGAGCAGCGTTGGATGAAATGACAGCATCGTCTCTCCTGCCACGCGGCGGCAGGAGAGCAGGTCATGGAGGAAATTTGCGCATCGCGCGCAAATTGGTACCGGCGGTGTCGGAGCCATGCTGACCCACCATCCATCATCTGCGTCAGCTTGAACATAATGTTACTCCACCACTAATCTTCGTCAGGCAGGCTCCCATGTCAGTCCCATGCCATGAGGCAGCTCACGGTGGCAGATGGCGAGTGGGTCGCGTAGGGCTCGGCAACGGCGCGATGGGCCGGACGGTAGTCGAGTGCCAAGGAGACTTGGGCCACTACTTACTCATCTGGATCTAAAGCTAGAAAAATGCCATGTCGACGGGGCAGGTGGCACGCCTTCCGCACAACATATGAGCTACCTATAGGCACGAGATGACGCTTTCTGCCGCTGCCGCCGCCGTTTCTTTTGTTCACTCGATGCAGGGCGACTAGCTTAATATCCGCTGTCGTGGCCGAGGCCGAGCAAAAGCATGGTTTCGGGCTGCAATTGGCCAGAAGATTATCCGACTAAACGTCTCGCTAATACGGTGATGGTATCCGCTTGATACTAGTTGACAGTAAGCCCAGGCTCATTAGCCACGTGCTTGGTCAGGGGCTTAGCCCTAATGGATAACCAACCTGCGTGACCCACGATATCGATAAGCACCATGCACGGCCGATCCAACGTAAGTTGTGTCGTCGAGCCTTCCCCACGCTAGTGTGACAGACTGAGAGACCGTGCACGGTTTCTAACGATGGCGGGGAATGACTGTTATTAGACTCCAAGTACGTTTAACCAGCACAGGATTTGCGCGCCAGTTTCTCCCCGTCCAAAGTCATTTCGCCATTAGGAGGAGATCGCTACCTGCGCTCTAGGTAACGTTTCTTTTACCGCGGAATTCGCTGCATCTTAGACCTCGCAATCGATGTCACGTTGGCTGCTTATGATACGGGAATGAACGGAATTTGACTAGCCTCGTGCCGTTCCAGTGGTGACCTTAACTACTTTATAATTTGATCTACAACAGATTGTGGAGTCGGAGCACATCGGTATGGAATCGTGGTAGACTACTTGCTGGGTTTATTCGGACCGATATTAGTTATCTTGAATTTTAATTGAAAATTCCACTAGGTCCAAACGTGGTACAGTCAGACCCCTGTTAAGACGATATTGCCGTTTATACGATATATTTTCCGGAACGGACTTTGCTCCCATACATTTACCGATTACTCGATTATCGTTCTTCAACCTCTGAATGTCGTCTTAATCAGGGTTTTTTTGTTAAATTGGTGCTAACTATGCAGCCAAAAATGAGAATTTCTGTAGAGCAACGACGTGCTCTGCGACGATGCGCGCACCGCCAGGTCCCAAAAAAAACACAAAAACAGTGCATTGAGTGGTTCTTCGCTGAGTACGGCCATCGATTAAGCCAGTCCACAGTCTCCGAGTCCTTGAGCAATATCTTTGCGAAATTCAACGAAGCTACAAGTACTGCTGCGATACGACAGTGAGCTGGAAACAAGCCTGACCTTGAGAGTACTAGAGCGATTAAAGATGGCAATTGGGAGTATAAAAGAGGCATCAAAAGTACAAAGTAGCGTAGATAGCTGGATTAGATAATCATATCCTTTTAAACAATATCCTCTATGTGACGATATTTTTCACGGCCCCGATTACATCGTCTTAACAGGGTGTCACGGAATGTGGTCGTGATCTAATCGATCGAACGAACGAAATATACAAAGTTAATTCTGATTTCCTAAAGTAATGATAACGCATGAATAACTACAATGCGGAATAAGAGCACATGGAAAGGAAATATATTTTTACAGGGGTATGACTAAGCGGTCCCTAAGGCCATCTTTATACATGGGCCGCACACAGTGAACGGCAGGAGTTTGTGCACTAGATCCTGTAACACAGGGGTCTGACTGTAGTTGTTTATCAGATAAGAGCAGCCTCAGGCTCCTTACTCTCCGGTATAGTTTCAGTAGCCTGGGCACCTAATCCACTTGGGAATGAGACGCCTTAGACCATATTTCATGCGGAGAAATTCAGTGGGTTATGGAGGCGTGTCTGGATAACTCAGGGTTTTTGAGACGTTCCCTGGGTGGGTATTCACGGATGAGGGTTGGCGTGGGGCGAAGAAAAAGCCATCATAACTTCGCAGTGGTACTTGCAAATGAAATCCGAGGCGCGAGTGCTCTACTTGTATATTGAGTCATCTTTCTGTACTTTTTCTCGGATATTGTGTCATAGCTAAATGGCTGCATACGCAATTAAAATCTAATGGAAAAAAAATAGCCCAGGGCTCTAACGTGGCCCTTGGTCGGATGGTAAAGTGTTACTGTAGGAAATATCGCACAATGAAATTGACGCAATATTTGTGGAACGAAAGTAGAAGTTGACTACATGAGTGATATGTTCGGATTACTGCCCAAAGAGTGGTTGGTGTGCGTTACTAGTACAAGAGTAAGCGACATAGAGCCTAAGCCACAGCATAAATGAATGTGGCGCCATCTATGTATATATATAAACATATATAGTTCATTATGCTTTGGCGCCTTGAGGCCCATGCAGGTTTTTATTGGAAGATATGTAATTTAAGTAAGATGACTCAATTTGACCCTGAGAACACTCACACTCAGATTTCAATTGCAGATATCACTCGAGGTTAACCCTAACGGCGTATAACCTCTTCCGTGCACACCCACCACAGGGAAAAGCGTGAAAACCCTGTGACTATCCGAGTGTGCTTTCACCATCCCACAAGTACAATTTATTTATTTATCTTTATTTAACGTCTGGCGGAACACGCGTCAAGCGAGTAACCCTATTAAGTCCCTACTGAGACAAAAGGCGCCCACAAGTACTTTATCACCGCGAGAGAGAGTGGTGTGAGGGTCTTACTGGGTTTGAACCAGCTTTCTCCTGTCTCGAACGGGGTAGGTGTTCAAGCTACCCAGCATCTACTTGGGATAACGGCCCGGATGGTGTACCACTGCACCATCCAGCCCGCCATCTAGGCATAGAAAACCCCCAATAACCTCCTTGTGCCCAAACTATACAGCCGCTCATGTCTCCAATGGGAAGCCCGAAGCGCTACCATATTACTCATAACAACCTCTTAAATACACACGAGATCGTGTCGGGAACCTAGACGAAATGGAGGGCCCGTACGTCCACAACACTCTGCGTCTCCATTTCCAACAGTTACTCAATCCGGGTTGCTCTCTGGGATAGAGCCTGGATAGATTTGATACATATCACTCGTGAAACTAGAGACTGCCGATTCGAATGCAATGAACCTCGACCGCATTTCCCGCGTTGAGAATGGAGAGGATACGATGGCATGTTTGTATACCCAGAGGATCTGTAACCTTCGTTGGGTGAAAGCTCACGGAGGAGGGTCGACTAGATTTTGTATGCAAACATAGCACAGTAGTACTTCCGAACTGAATATGGAGAATTAATATCTTTGAATTCAAGAGAAGTATTGAAGATGTACACAAATGACTGGTCGTGTGTCTTAACTTAAAAGCTATTTAATTGTCCTACATAGTCATAGACTCAGACAGGACAATAAAAATGAAAAATAAAAAATAAAAAAGCTGATTAATTATTTTTCAAGTAAACCGGGCGAAAGCGAACGTTATTGCCCCATCCCAGGGGGAACAGGGTGACTGCTACAAAAGAAAATACATTTATTTACAGTTGGATGCCCAGAGGCCTTGAAAAAGAATTTCCTCTACTTGACAGCTGTATACGCACTGAAAGAAGATGAAATCAAACCAAATCAGCCCGTGACCCCTAAGCACATCATCTGGTGCTACTAACATTAAGCTTGCCGGCAAGGTTGAATTCTTCACGTTACAGTGGCGCCGGTGTAATCGCTAAGTATCCTCTGCATGTCTAGGATAGCCAAGGAAAATCGCATTGGAATCGAAGTCGAAAGCACACACAGATACTTTTATAATCGGCGACTTCTCATCGATGTTGGTCTTGTCATTTTCACGCGAGTCCTCTACCTTAACCTCTCCACACACCACCTCGACTCAACGACCGATAAAGGCGTCACTCCAATTGCAAACAGGAGCCTGCCTCATTAGTTATCGACCATTATGCACTACAGATTTACGACGCTACGTATACCCGCAAGGAGGAAATCAAGTCATAATACACAAAGTTGGGGACATGGTTTATGGGGGACTGTTGCTATAATGGGGCTTTACATCTTGCGGAAGGACAGGTGACTGGGGCGTGGAAAGACAA